TGGTGCATGTTTGTGTCTTTAACAGTGACTTAATGCTACTTTAAGCTGTATTTAAATCATATTTGTTGACTCTTTAGGAGCTTTAAGTGGCGCTGCTGCTGTCAGTAACGCTATAATCTAATTCTGATTTATCATAATGTCACTGTCTTTGCACTGAAACTTGTTTCTGACATTCCCAAAGAGGTTTCTGCACATTTTGCAGTGTGTGTTATATTACTGATTTATTATTTATGTCGGCTCTGGAGCACGTTTGAGTCCTCACAGTGATTTTATTCTACTTTGCGCTGTACTTTCATGACATTTAGTGACTGCTGCCGTTGTTTTTGACACTTTGAAAGAGATTTCTGCACATTTTCAGTGAGTCCTGCTGCAGTAATTCATTACTTATGTGGGTTTTAGGGCATGTTTGAGTCTTTGCAGTGATTTTATGCTACTTTAGGCTGAATTTTATTCACATTTGCAAACTGCAGGAGCTTTACTGGGTAGCTGCTGCTGTCAGGACCAGTATAATTCAATTTAGATTATTGTAACGTCACATTTTTACACCTTTTTTTGCATTGAAACACGTTTTTATGCACATTTTAGTGAGTGCTGTCGTACTGATTTATTATTTATGTAGGTTTCGGAGCATGTTTGAGTCCTCACAGTGATTTTATTCTACTTTAAGCTCTATTTTAATCACATTTAGTGACTCTGTAGGTGTTTTAGGTGGAGCTGTAGCTGTCGGCGATAGTATAATCTCATTCTGACTTATCATAACGTCACATTTTTGCACTTTACGACATGATCAGCCCACTTTTTTTCACACTGGAACACGTTGTTTGCACGTTTTATTGAGTCCTGCTGCACTAATTTATTATTTATGTCGGTTCTGGAGCACGTTTGAGTCCTCACAGTGATTTTATTCTACTTTACGCTGTATTTGCATGACCTTTAGTGACTTTTGACATTATTTTTAACACTCTTGAAGAGATTTCTGCACATTTTTTAGTGAGTCCTGCTGCAGTAATTTATTATTTATGGAGGTTTCGGAGCACGTTTGAGTCCTCACAGTGATTTTATTCTACTTTAATCTGTATTTTAATCCCATTTGTTGACTCTGTAGGAGTTTTAAGTGTAGCTGTAGCTGTCTGAGATAGTAAAATCTCACATTTTTGCCCTTTCAGACATTTTAAGGCACTTTTTCAGCCCTGTGTTGTTCTTCCTGTAACTTGTGGAGCACTGCTGAGGGACTTCATGCTCCTTTAATCTGGATTTCACTGACATGTCTGGTCTCCTGCTGCTGGTACTGGGGCTCTCTGGGGGCTTTAAAGCCTCCTCGTGTTGCCCCTCAGCACTAATTGCCCCTGTGTGCTGGATTTTCTTACTCAAACTGAAAGTCCCGGAGCTGTCAGTCAGCTGGCCCGGACCGGAGCGTGTGTCTGCGGCTTGTCTCACCTCTCCAGCCGTCCCCCCCACGGGCATCTTCTGCCAGGGATCCGCCAGCTGAGCCAGCGGCATCTTTTCCTCCTTCTGCTCCGACTTTTCTCTTCTTCTTCTTCTTCTTCTTTTTTATTCCTCTTTTCTGCCCCGCTCGCCTCGTCCCTCCCTCCGCACACTCTTTCCGTCCGGCCGCTTTCTCTCCTTCTTCTCCTCCTTCTCCTTCTACTTCTTCTTCTTCTTCTTCTTCTTCTTCTTTTCCACTGTTTGAAGCTTCGGTTTGCGTCTCGGCTGGAACCGAACCGACCGACCGACCGAGCGACGGACCGAGCGGAGCCGAGCGGACACGGGCTAATTCCGGATCTGCTGTGGCGCTGAGACCGCCCCTTCCTCCGGGGAGACGAGCATGAGGAGGAGGAGGAGGAGGAGGAGGAGGAGGACGCCCTTTTTCGGAAACTGATTGACTTATCTTCTCTTTCTCCCTCCACCTCTCTCTCTCTCTCTCTCTCTCTCTTCCGCTGCTTCCCAATATGGCGGCCGGTGTCGGCTTACCTGTCCGTCAGAGCGCCGCGTCACGCATGCGTCACGCCAGGAGGAGGCTGCCTTTAGGTAACAGCGGGAGTCAAACCAGCGCCGATATCTGTGCCTAGGCGCTGAATTTATGGATGAATGCGGTTTAATTCATGACTAATTCATCAGCTGGATCCTAATGATCCGTTTGAAGCTGTGATGTACGCAGAAATCTGAGAATGCAAGTGAAACAACCAATTATTTGATCAATGAGACACAAAAACGACTACAAAAGGATGAAAACAAGCACAAAGAGAGACAAGATGATCTGAGAAAGACACAAAACAAGTGTGAAGAGACACAAAATGATGAAAAAAGACAAAAACAAGCGTAATGAGACACAAAACGAGAAGCCAAATCACCTCAGAAAGACACAAAAAGTATGAAATGACACAAAACAACCACAAAAAGACACAAAACGAGATGAAAATGATAGAAAATAAGCATAAAGAGACACAAATTTACTACAAGAGACCAAGAAAAGAACCTCAAGAAGGCACAAACATGACAAAACAGCAATAAGACACAAAACAACCACAAAAAACAAGTACGATATGACATAAAATGACCAAAAAGGACACAAAACAAGCATAAACAGGCACAAAATTATCACAAAGAGGCACAAAATTACTACACAAACACAAATTAATCTCAAAATAACACAAAACAACCACAGACACAAAATGACTACTGAGGAACTGGAGGTGTTGCGGTATCAGCTAGATACAGTTGGACCCATTTCCACACCCAGCTAAGGTTCTGGAACCACAGTCCTGGACAGGGGTTGGACTCTCTCCTTTTCCAGAGTTGCCCAC